AACCCCACCCCCCACCCCCCACACACACATTGATGCATCCCTACCTAATAATATAATGTATTGCTGGGACTTGTAGTCCTGCATAGTTGGTGCTATTCTGCATTGCTGTATAATGATTATACAGTAATGTGAATAGTAATGTGAATAAATACAGTATAATAACAGCAGCAGCTTCTTGCTCCCCCCCCCCGCCCTCCCCCCACACCGAACTTACCTGACTCCTACAGCTGCTCAGCTTCCTCGTCTTTGGCGGCCAGGGGGCGGGGCTGAGTGAAGAGGGTCCGTCCTCTCCCAGTCCCAGCTGAAGAATGTGCTGCCTGGTGGTGCCTGGTGTGTCGGTAATAGGTAGCGGCCCCACCAGGCAGACAAGGGACAGACTGAGCCTCTCTATCCCCTCACAGCCGCCCGTACATGCAGAGCGGCTGGGGATGGATCGGCGCTATCTGAAGGGGGGGGGGACAGCATGGGGAAGCTTTCGGGCCCTCTGCTTCCTCTCTGGGCCCCCCCCCAACAGGCGGAACGCCAGGGCCCTGTCGCAATTGCGACCGCTGCGACCCTGGTAGTTCCGCCAGTGTGCAGAATATAGGGGTAGAACTAGAGCAAAGCCAAAAAGGTCTCTCATCCATGTGCATTAACGTAACACAAAAAGAACAAATGTAGTCCTAATCTCACGCGTCTGTCAGAGAGGCGGTGCATATTAAGTGTGTTTTACATGCGCTAACATTCATCCTTATGGAAGGTGCATGTTGATTGAAACTGCACCAACGATGCAACAAGCAGAATTTTTACTTTTAATCGCACGAAAACACAGAAGTGTGAAACGGCCATTACATGTTCCCAAACATTTTCAGACCATACATGCACTGCCCCATAGAAGAGATTTTCCTTTTATAGTATGGGAAGAGCAAAAAAAGAACCTGATTATTTGGAATTTAAAACAATTCCTCTTTTTTTTATCATTTAAGACAAAATATTTTCTGCAGTTTTTGCCCATATCAAACAAATTTATATTTACATACTAACTGAAAAAACTATTTCCACATTAAAGTGTGTGTTTTTCCTCACATAGTTTTACTAGCCTCTGCTTTAGCAGTAAATAAATTACATACAAAACAAGCATCAATGATGAGTTGCTGTTCAGAATAAATCCATACTGGTTGAGGTTGTACTAGAATGCTGGATTGGTATCAGAATTTGAATTGCAATACCCACCCTCAAATTTGCTCCCAGTTGGGATTTTGTCAGGGACTTGTATCTCCACTACTCCCCAATTGGTTTTTCTTTTTATTACTGGGCAGAATGCAAAACAAAAGGAGGGTTAGAACTGGGGAAAAAGTGCAACAGATTCCTTCATCTACGCTAAACTGTGTGGATGGAGGAATCTCCCACTGGGCCAAGCTTCAGTATCTTGCTAGTCGGCCTCGCTGGCTGTCAAAACCTGATTGGATGCAATCTGATTGGATGGAGGCATTGTTCAGGTATTTTGAGAGGTATCTGTTGCACTTTTTCCATCTGACCATAGAACATTTGCAGATAATCTAAAGGTGTATGGCCAGTTTAAGAATGTATATGCCTGAAATGTATTTTACCATTTACATTTTCCTTCTAATATAAGTTGACTCTATACACACAGACATACTGATATATCTAATTTAAAAAAACAAACAAACAATAGTTCAGCTTTTTAAAAAAAGCTTTGCTTGTTTTTTTCTGCCCTAAATCAATCCCCTTTCTTTGTTTTTCTCTCTGCCGACAATGCGCCAAGTTACAAGACAAAACTAATTCTGTCTACTGTATTCATCTTTCCAAATTCAAACCTTCTTCCAACAAACAAATCATGAATACACATTGTTGTGATACCAAACAGAAATATGTAAATCAGTGTATTAAACCTTACGTCAACTACACAGCAAAGAGGCTCCATCCAATGGCAGTACCACACATATTGCTTGTTTATCCAAACCTGGGTCAGTTAACTGCTTCATGGACAGAGCAGGTTTTTCCATTCCATTCCATTCCATACTGTGTTCATAAAATGTGGCATTATATAAAACACTAGCCACCAATTGCATTTTGATCCTCGCATCAGTTCTCAAATATTACAACCTGGGGAGCAGATTGATTTACTGCCATTATGAAAGCACCCCCTTAGGAATGTGTCAAGGTACTCCCAGGAGAACCACTCATCTAGTATATAAAAAGTTGTGGTACTACAAATATTATAGAAAGTTTGCACATACATGCATAATATCAGTGCTTTGGTTGAAGATTTTCACATAATTTTTTAGGATATCAAAATGAAATCCAGGGGTCAAGAGACGACGATGCTGTCCCCATTTCTCCCCACGACTGAGTAGAAGGCCATCTCCTGAGGGATAGAATGTCACAAAAATTAGTATAGTTTCTTATTTTTAAGGCATATCAAATGAATTCAGTTATTTTTTTTCCGTCTCCCCTACCTGTTGCCCATGGGTGAAAGCCAGAACTAGCAGGAACATAGTATGAATTATTGGCACTGCCTATCCCACAATAACAAACACTTTCTTTTTCAAGGAATTCAAATTATTAAAAAATTAGATGTGATTGCAGTTTGACTGCTCAGTTCTAGTACTCTTCCACATCACTGCTTGACCTCTCAATTTCCTTAAAGTACTCAGATTAAAAATGTTTTGATCTTTGCAGTGGGACTACCCCCGAACTGAAAGGGTTACGTGCTCATTTTTTTTCTAGGTGCCAAAAAAAACGTTATACTCGCTATCTGAGCCGGCTCCCTGCTTCTGTGATCACTGAAGCGTTTCTCCTCTTGTGCTGCTCAGATAGACTGCTCCTCGGTGTCCTCACATCTTTACACAGTCTATGCACAGTGTATAGAGCGTGATGACACCAGGATCCTTAGACCACTGCAACAGATGAGATGCTCGATACACTGGTTTAAGAACAAGCTGGCCCAGATGGTCTGGTAAGTATAACTTTTTTTTTTTAGCACCTAGATACAAACGAGCACTTAAAGGAGAACTATGGGGTCAGTGTTTTTCCCCATAGTTCTCCTATGGGTCACGGGAGGACATAAACTAGCATCCTCTCGTGATCCAAAGCTCAGTCTATCACAAGCTACAGCTCGCGGTATACTGAGACCGCCGCAGCCGGGACGGATCCCGTCATTACTGTCGAGATCCACCCAGCTGCGTGATTGACAGCTGGCTCTGCCCATCTATAGGCAAAGCCAGCTGTACCCGCCCCCTCCGGCGTCCAGTCCACCAGTCAGCGCTGGAGGATCGGAGCAGGGAGGGGGTGAATCCCTGCAGGGAGCCGAGAGTCTCAGTCACGGCTCTCTTCAGGGACATGATTGAGAAGTGAGCGGGCGATGGTATGTGTTCGCTCACTTCCCGATCTATTGAGCCGACGTGTGACAGTTTTATTGTCACACTTCGGCTCGAACTATGAGGTTGAGTGAAAATCACTCAACCTCATAGTTCTGCTTTTAACCCTTGCAGTGTGGGAGTAGCCCCACTGCAAGGGTTAATTATTGTTTTCCCTGGAGTTCTTCTTTAAGATGAAGAGGATCCTCGAACAAAAAAGATGAATAAAGTCCTTACTAATACAAGGGCTTTAAAAAGATGTGCTGTTATGCAATGAAATGTCATATACGACCCAACAGACATATAAATGTGGTGTAATAATAACAATAGATAAACAACTCACCTAGCCAGGGTCTTAGAAAGCCATAAAATAGTTCATCTTTGGGGGCAATGAGAGCTGGAAAATAGGAATAATGGGCAGCTGAAAGTATCAATTACATACCAATAAACTTTTAACAATGAATTCGTAATGTATACCTTGTCTTCAATAGTAACACATGAGTGAGGAAGGACTAGCTGACCACTGATTAGGCTTTATAAAAGGTATTGGAAGGTCTAGTGCAGTTAGATATCAACTGTTAAAAGTTGTAGAGGGATGGAAAAGTAACAAGATGTTTTTTATTACCACAATACATGGAAACTGCTTCTGCTTCTTACCCATCTTGATACTCTGGCAAACAGATGTCATGGTGTATAGAACATAATTATATATGTCTAAATTGTGCTATATTATGGATCGCATGCAGTGCTGCTGCAGAGGAATGGGTATGGTGTAATGTGTTAGATATGTGTAACGTATAGATAGCCAGAAGTTTCTCTGCCCATGTATTACTAGACATAGGTGTAGTGTTATATTATGAACATTTTCCTGCCAATTTGTTTTGGGGGGTGGATAGAGTGAAAAAGTCTTACAACTTTTGTTAGGTTTTTTTTTTTGGTCCTTGACCCTACTGGGATTTTCCCTCACCTCCTATCCCCATGACATCAGTACAAGAAATGGGAGTGCACTTGTCACCGGGGACAGGGCACAGACAGCAAAAAAACATTGTCAGAAGTTCTAACCTTTCCATTTTAAATGTGTGTTTGTCTTTGCCTGTGTCACTTCCTATCCTAGCATCAAGCACAGCATGTGTGGGCTCATTGCATATGTCTTTATTGAATATGAGTAGGTTATCCAGTAGCACCGACCAAGAAAAATAAGTTTAGTAAATCAGGACCATTACATTTACTGTACGATGCATTATATGTCCAAACAGTGTCATAAAATAAACACATGCATATGACATCACTAGACAAACAAGACTGGCATGGTGCCCCATACCAATAGATCAATACATAAGCAGAAATAGCAAACCTATAAGAAAAGTATAGAGACTTGTAAAGGAAACAATATATCAAGAAATCTAAATAGGAAGCAATCCCCCATTTATCAAATATTTGTTTTATACAGAATGATTACTGATTTGGCAGTCTTTTTTTTGTGGAGCCGGAGATGGTTGCCACAATTACATCAGCAAGGTTCATCTTGAGTTCTGCATAGTGATGCAAACACTCAGATTCTCTGTGACTATACGAAGGGATTACAAATATTTTCTTGTCGATACACTAGACCTGCTGAGATCAAGCAAACTTGGCAAGTATCTATTCTACATGTACAAAGTTTGTTTGGGGGTAGATTCGAAAAAAGCTAACTAAATATCAACATAATAATTGATATTATTATTGATAGGTAAATCATTTAATGAGAATTATAACCTAGAATACTTGGGTAAATGAAATAATCATAAAGAAAAAAAGTGTTTTTTTTTTAAAAAATATAAAAATATATTCAGTCAGACATATGCTAACATTTTCGATCATGAAACCTGTACTAATAGAAACATGGAGGCTGCCATTGCTAACCTCCTTCTGAAAATTCTTGTAGCCTGGCTGTCTCTGCTTTCTGAGAGAATGACCTGGAACAAGCATGTAGATTAGGAAAATAAGAGTAAAGACAGACCTCCTATTCTGCATACTTGTTCTGGGTCAGTGACACTACAGAAGGCAGTGAAGAAGAATGACAGCAGTGGTTCTAGTATTTTTAGAAGAATAGGTTTCCTTTAAGGTGGATTTCCAGCAAACTTCATTATAAACTGTAGTTATGGAAACTAAAGGTTAGGGGAAAAGCACACTGATCTGTATGTCATCATGCCTACCAATGGGGGAAGGTATGTAGCAAAGTAGGGCACACGTTAGTGTCCTTTCCCTATATTTTAATCTTTGGCAGCTGTGGGGAAAGTGCAAAAGTAAGGATGAAGCTAAAACAGCAAGTAGGTGTCATGTGACGCAAGACAAGCGTTCCTACAGGAATTCAGCACCATAAGCATAACTGGAAGGTCATATTTTTCACGCAATGTATTCTACCAAAATTAGCATCTATTTAGTATGCGCACTAGCTGGGAAAAGCCATAGAACATGAATTGAAGCAGGTGACAATGAAACAAGACACTTGGACAAAATAGTCTACCTGGAACCTGCAGGACTGACTTAATGCTAGTGGGGTGGAAAAGCCTGATGATAGGATAGTAAAGACTAAACCACCAGGAGCAGGCGTAGACGTACTTCTTCACCAGTTCATTTGCCACTAGTAATCCTTCTTCTGTACCCTTGATCTAGAGTGGTGGGAAGTTACAGTCAGATTGGTAGCAGTGATGCATGCATATTTCAAGTATATGTAAACCCAACCACTAAAATCTCATATGAGCTTGTTAAAGTGATTTTCAAAAAGTCATTCTAATTCTTTTTTTTGATGTGCAGCTTTCAGTAAAATAATACCTGGTGCTCCTGCTACAAAGGTCCTTGTGCAGGTTGTAGGGTGACAGCACTCATTCCCTGTCTTCTAATTGTTCACCTGCATTGTCACCCCGTCAAATACTCTTCCAATACGGAATAAAAGCTGTTCCAGTGCACATTTGAAAGAAAAGTTCCACTCTTATCAAGAAACCCATACTGAGAAATGCTGTGAGCCATTACTGGAGCACATGCATGTAGAAAGTAAGTTGCTGCAACGAGGCTGCAGGAGATCAGCAGCGCTGATATGGAAAAAAAATTGGCAATAGTTTATTATGCCTAGTGCTTTAGCAAACAAATTGTCATCCAGACAGGGTTTACATGTACTTTAATAGGTCCACAGATCCAGAAAGTTTAGCCCATTTATAAACACCAGTGGATGTGTTGTTCACGGTAGCCAACGAGATTCAATTTGTAATTTTTGTAGGGCACTAGATGGAGTTGAGGACCATAGGAAATTAATACATCTTCTTATGAGCGATCCTCAGCGCCATCTAGTGGCCATCCCCATTAAAGAACATTGTGGCAGAAACAAATGTCAGTGCAAATACTCTTCTGGTTCATTCTCACAACAGCTGGTTAACTCGCACAAAATAAATATGCGTGCAGTTTCGCTGAATGGATAAGCTAGGCAAATTTTTTACAAATAGACCTCACAGTATATATTTACTCTCACTATTTATCATTGCACATCTATCACTCTGTACAGAATGAATGAACAATACCCTCTCTGTTGCCTTTACTTCATGGCCCATTCAGATATATCCGTTGCATTGCAGTACGTTAATAGACACATGTTGATGCACGATATGTCCTGCATTATCGTGTGTTGTTTTAGACAACCCATTCATTTGAATGAGCTGGCAATGCACCAAAAATGCACTTGCCAATGCAGTGCATTATTGTGCATTGCAATGCCAATAATTGGTACCACATCATATTGCATACGCAATCGCACCAGTAAGTGTTAGCTTTGGTATGTATCAGTTTTGTTAGGCTGTTACCCTGAATTGGGTAACAGCCTAAAAATCTTGTGACACAGTAAAGCAGACAAAAAAATAATATGCAACCTTATTTAGCAGTGGATGCATGCTATAAATAGGAAAAATGGTTGGTACACAGAAAGAAACTAGTTCAATAATTAATTAGTTTGATAATTAAAAGTGGAATCACAATATTGGCATTTGAAAATCAACAAATGTGATATAGCAGTTCACTATCCCCTATCTAACAAAGTTATCTATGACCTAAGTTCCAAACGTGCCCATTAGTGAGCTCACAGGTCTGCATTTGGGCCCTGAGCAACTGCACAATAATGGATTCCTTTCCAAGGCAACAAAGTAGGAACTGATGTACTGTCTCATGAAGATGCTACACACTGATAGAAGCAACAGCTGCGGAGCTCCTTTAGGATCCACTCCTTAGGATCCGCTCTGAAGAATAATTGCTTCTCAGTCAACTTACTTTATTCTGTAATGACAGTAAAGCAAATGTCTACGTTTAGCCTCTGTATTTAACCAACAGTCTTTAGATTCACTTTGCAATATGTCTATCTTACTGACTCCTTATGAGATGAACAAATATTCGAGGATGTGGTAAGACTGTTTTGCAGCAAAGTAATATAATTCCAGAAATTGTAGCACATGAAACTCCTTTATGGAGACCATGTGGGACTTACAATGCAGCAGTAAGCTCTGGCTACTTCCTCCGGCCTCAATCCACATTAACAGGATGCCGGAGGAAGTATCTGACAGCTGGGGGGAGGAGTTGCGGCCCGCCGTGCCATGATTGGCCAGCAGGCACACACTACAGAGCCGGTGGGTGGAGCTTCGGGCCGCCCCCTCGTGATTGGACAGCGGCGGACCGTAGTGTGCGGCCGCGGACACCTTACACCGGCGCCCGCAACTTCCCCACAAGGTCACTGCTGCCGCCCCTCTGCCGCCCGGAGGCCGGGCCTTGGTGGCCTTGTGGGAAATCCGAGCCTGAGTGGAATTGGTTCCAGGTTATCTGTGTTGTTCTCTAGGCACTATATAGGAATCAGACTAGAAGAATCCATCAAAAGGTTTCTCTAAAATTTCCCTCAGCTGTCCTCTTCCAGAATGTTATCTCACAGACTTAATTCTTCCCAGACTCCTTGCACAACATTCCTCCCTCCAATGTCACACACTCTGCAGGCTGGCACATACTGTATGCCTGTCTTTGGTAGCTGTCCCATAGAGGTGAATTACGATGGCCATTTTGGGATATTCTGTAGTCAAATGAATTCCATTGTTGGCAAGCTGCTTAGAAACAGACTGACCTCTAGTGGCAGAGAAACAACCTATGTGAAATGATAAACAATTCTGCTACATAACAGATTAATATGTCTTCTCTGCAAAGTATATCAGCTTTCCATAACATCAGAACAATAGATAGCATAGCAAATGTATATGTGGTGGCTACACCAATCTGCATAGGTCCTATACTCAGTGGTTTATCTGCATAGATGCAGAATGTTACAAATCTAAGATACAAACAAATAAAAATATGACAAAATAGATGTTGGATCGGCTGAGTCGAACTCCTTCTGCACTTCGGGTCGGCCGAACATGCTGAGTATGTTCGGCCGACCCGAAGCCACACGAAGCAAGCCGATGTACAGCTGATTTCAGCCGATGTACGGCTGAAATTAGCCGTACCAGCCTGAAGTGAATAGCCGAACAGTGTTTGGCTCACTTCACTTCAGATCGGATATCCTGACTGTAAATGCAGGATACTTTGTAAACAACAGGGCTGCAAGCAAGACACGACATTTGACCAAGGAATATTAAAAGCCACCATGTATGTTTGAATGTTGTTTGATAACTTTTTGGAAGAAAAATGTTTTGGACTACAGCCTATGTTCACTAGTCAGGTCAAAGGAACTTTTCGGGCCCTTTCATCTGTCAGCTTTTCAGCCGAACCCGCTTGGATGCCCAATGTAAGTGTATGGTGAATTTAATTCCATTTTGGGACCGATATACTAAACAGTAGTTGTCACTCACAGCTTTAGGCCACTCCACACTATCCAACCAGGAGGGGATCCGTGCACAGAGTGGTACGGAACAGATATCACTGCTGTGACATTCGTGTCCATCCAGTTTTTTTTCCTCCATCTTGTGATGTAAAGGGACATGTGTCTGTTTAAAGCAGATTACCCCCGATCTGTCACGATCAGGTCCTGCAAAATGGAACACTGTTCCATCTGTTTTTCCAGACCTTACCAGAGCCAGGGGCAACCGGATGTAAACAGACACATGTCCGTTTACATCTGATTCTCCATGGACTGACATAGGGTCTGGTCATTTCAGCTTTTTCCTCCATTGCAAGATGGATGAAAAAACTGGATGTACACAGATGTCACAGTGGTGACACCTGATCCATACCGCTGTGATCAGGAGGGGATCCGTGCACAGCTGATGTTTTATTTTTATATTTATTGGGCCATTTGAATGGATTAATTCGTTTTTGACTTTGAATTATGAGAAGAACACTTGGTTATGACATAACACTTGGTTATCTAAATATGGTCACTGAAGGGGTATTAGTTATAGTAAATAGGATTTCGAAATATTCAACCAGTGAGATTAAATAAAGTAATAAAATCATTATTGCGGCCATACCATAGATCATCAGAACCCTGGGCTATCTGTGTGTACCCATGGCTCCGCCGCATGATGTCTGTGAGGGGCGGGATTCTGATCCACGTCACTCGGAGATAGATTTGCAGATGATTTCTGGACCTTGGGTAAGTGACGGGACTAAGCCCTGCAAGCGTGTTACAGCATATAAAATACTAAAGAATGAGCATTGCATATATATGGATTTATTAATAAACAATGGATTATATACTCTTAATTAGATTCCTACCACAATATTCCCTGATGAAGTACATGAACGAAACGCGTTGGAAATTTGTGGCGTTTTGCATTATAATAACGTGATAAGAATATGAAACAATTGAATGGGATTTTGCCTATGGTTTTAAATAATATGTAGAATATGTTTAATATGAAATGAGACTATTAATGAGGAATCCATGAATCTTGTATATTTTCTGTAAATCATGATCTTACAGAATAGAATTGAGGAATCGAATAATCATGTATGTATTTTATGCCTGAATCATGACATTTTAAGATATTTAATAAATTATGTATTTACAAAAAAAAAAAAAAAGGTCTGGCGCCTCGTTCAAAACCCCTACACTACTGGGATTGTAGTTTTTTTTGGAACAATATAATTTGACAGGGGTGAGGTCTCAGACCACTTGGGCTACATGGTTCTGGGTAGTAATATTTTGTTTGTACCAGTAAATATGTTGAGCAACTATGGATAGTAAATCAGCCCAAAAGTGTCAATGTTGCCCTTAACAACCATTCTGCCGCTAGGTGACAACTTTTGGGTTTGTAAACAAAGGGGTCTATTCACGAAGCAGCCGAAGGATCTAGCCGTAGATTCGGCCGATCCTTCGGCTAGCTTCGGCCCCAGGACCCCTTCGGTTCAGAAGAACCGAAGGGCTGCTGTACAGGCTATTCACTATAGCCCATACAGCTCCCGAACTTGGCAGAGGGCTCAATCAAGCCGAAGGCATATGCCTCGGCTCGGCTAAGCCGCGCTGAAAGCCGAAGCTGGCCGAGCCTGCTTCTGACAGCTGGGTGGAGCCAGCCATGATCTTACGGCTGGCTCCGGCCACTTGCAGAGAGATCAGCGTCCCTGGTTAACAGCTAACCAGGGACACTGATCTCCAGACAGCAAATGCTACCGGCCGCCATGGAGAGAAACACTGCTTTTTCTTCTTTTTTCTTTATTCCGACACGGAGCTGTGTCAGAATAGAAAAAAAAAGTAAAACATTTTTGGCCATAGGAATGCATTGCTAGATTCCTATTGGCTATTTCAATTTGCAATAGCAAACTAGCATTGCACCCGCCCTCTGCTGCAGTTCCCCATCAGGTCCCCACTACTGATTGACAGCAGCAGAGGGCGTGCCAGAATAGAAAATTATTTTCTTTTCTATTCTGGCACGGCTCCGTGTCGGAATAAAGAAAAAAAAAAAGAAATAGCAGTGTTTTTCTCCTTGGCGGCCGGGAGCGGGAGACTCCCGGAGCGCCCGGGAGAGTTTTTTTTTTCTTGACGGCAGCAGAACCACCGGCCAATAGAAAACTGTTGTGCGGAGCAAGCTGTCATTGCTAGCTCCGCACAATCGTTTTCTATTTTTTTTTTTCCTTTTTAAACTATTTTTCTGTTCTGCTTGGTACCACAGAAAGACCGAGCAGAACAGCCGAGCCGAATGCCGCTCAGCGGCATTCGGCTGTTCACTCTATTAGAATAGACCGAACAGCAGCGAGTAGCCTGCCGGAGGTTCGGCTTAGCCAATCTCCAGATGTTGGATCGGCTGAGTCGAACTCCTTCTGCACTTCAGGTCGGCCGAACATGCTAGGCATTTTCGGCTGACCCGATGCCACCCGATGTACGGCTGATTTCAGCCGTACCAGCCTGAAATGAATAGCCAAACAGTGTTCGGCTCACTTCGCTTTAGGTCGGTCATTCACTCGGCTGCCTACGGCAGCTTAGTGAATAGACCCCTAAATGAGAGGATATGAGTAACTTGATCATACATAGATGTTTCTATGAGGTCTATTGAATTCATGAGTATTATTATATTTAGGAAAGTATAACAATAAACATATAATAAATGTATGGAGAAACCTCAAATAGGGGGCACTTATTAGGATTTATAATACTCTAGAGGACAATAGTAAAATAGATATGGATTTAGTACACAAGATGCTGAATAGGATGTAAAACTTGGGGAATGCATCTTACCCAGCAAGTTTTCTTTTAATTTTTAAATATTTTTAATATTTGTATATTTTATTTCAAATGCTCATAATTTCTGGTGTATTCACAGATGAACAACACTTTGAAAACAACTTTCTGTAGCATAATTTAAGTTGGAAAAAAAAAGAATGCTAGCTGTGAATGGAAACTTGTTTCTTAAGGTCTCTTTGATACAATACCTGAAGCTGATACCATTGTTTTAACGGTGTCCGGATGAACAAGCGAGATTAAAGGCAAGGCAGGTCCCATCCATGTCTTCAGACTGTAGGAAAATGTTGTGACTAGCTTGCTGACTTCATTCAAACCCTCTTCATTAGGCAAAAACTATGATCAATGATATGGCACAAAGCAAGGTTACACTTTAGCAGTGACAAGATTAGGTTAGCATGCAAGCATTTAATCAGCATTAATAAGCAGTGGAAGACTACCAATTAGGCAAGGAGGACCTAGATTATACCCTGGGTGGTCACTGGATGACCCCAGTCCATATTCTATCATAAGGTAACACTTTAACATAGTTACAATACAGAGCTGTGCAACCTTTAGATCAAGACATTGCAATAGTTAATCAAGTCAAATAGCAAGGTTAGCAGTTTATTAGATATGCCATTAAATTGAACATGTCAGTCAACTGTAGAAGACTGCTTAATATATCACGCATTACAAGATACATTATTTTACCATTGTCAGTCAGAAAAACTTGGGGATGAATCTACTAGAAAAGCATACTCACTTTGCAAAGTACATTTTCACTTGGCTTAGTGAATGAGGCACAGCTTTGTTCACTTTGAATACCCAACCATGTGAAAGGAATAAAAAAAGACATCAGCACAGCATCACCTCATTCACAAAAGCTGGCCATACACCTTACAATTATCTGCAGATTTTCTATGGTCAGATGGAAAAAGTGCAACAGATGCCTCCATCTACGCTAAACTGTGTGAATGGTCCAAGCTTCAGTATCTTGCTAGTTGGCCCCGCTGCCTCTCAAAATACCTGAACAATGCCTGCATCCAATCAGATTGTTCAGGTATTTTGAGAGCCATCTTATTCACTAAACCAGTGAATGCTGCAGTGTAGGAGGAGGCAGGCTGGAGGGAGTGCTGTGACAGCTGACCGACTCGGAGCTTTGGATGAGTATAAATTTGTTTAGACAAAAACAAGCACTTAAAGAATTATGGGATGAGTGAAAAACACTTATCCCCATACTTCAAGCCGACCTGTGGCACTGAAGCTGTCACAGGTTGGCTCTACTGATCAGGATGTCGATGAACACACACGCACACTTCCCGATCCTCTCCCTGCAGAGAGCTCTCGCTGCAGGGAGAGCTCTCACTGGAGGAACAGACGGGGGAGAGGGAGCGGGCACAGCTGTCAATCAGCCAGTGGGGTGGATCTCGACAGTATTTTCAGGATCCAGCCTTGCTGTGGTGCGGCTCTGCGCTCTCAGCATATAGCGGGCGCTCACTATATACTGAGTTTTGGGCTACCGGAGGACATTGGTATATGTCCTCCTGTCACCCTGAAGCTAACTATGGAAAAAAAAGTTAGGCCATAGTTCTCCTTTAACCCCTGCAGTGTGGGGGTAGCCCCACTGCAAGGGTTAAGGAAAAGTTTTCCTGGAGTTCTTCTTGAAAACAAACTCAAGGAATCCCTTATTGGGAAGGCAGAATGAATCAACAAACCGCTTATAGACCGTGGAAGGATTAGTCAACTTAGGCTGGATCAGCTTGCAAGACAGTAGCTGGGGGTAGCTAGCTTGCATCATACTAAGTGTTTAGGTAATGTTCTGCAGTGGTTCTCATGTGTGGCCCTTCCCCTTGCCCCCGGCATATTAAAAATACAAAGCTGTATGAATTATTGTCTTTGTGTTTGTTTTCATTATATGCTCATTCCTTTTTGTGTTTGTATGGAATTGCAGGCATTTTTGTTAAAAATATCTTCTTGGTGCCCAGTAAGTAGTTTTTTGTTTTTTTTTGGGGCCCTCAGATTAAAAAAAGTCTAAAAAACCCTGCACCAAATAAAAACCCGCTTTGCAAAGTGAACATACTCTACTACCCTACTAAATCAACCCCAACGTGAGCCTAGAGTAGTCACTATAGGGGGCATGAGTTTCCTGGCATTAGGACTAATACTGCTAACTACCATTGTCCAATATGAGAGCCTCAAAGTTTTTTTTTGCCTAACAGAGGTAATAGCGGTTATCTTGTCATGTCTTATTAGGCACAAAATGCACATACATTTTTACATTATTACATATTTCCATTTAAAACACCTGACAGGTTTTCCTTAATGATCTTGGGCTCTAAAAGGAAGCATAAGTCGGAATTTCAACATGCTGGAACTATGGAAATCAATGAGTTTGTGTTGTATGGCATATTTTCACTTGGGCGTCTCTGAAGAAATATGCATTACTTTTTAAGAAAGGCAGTGCATGGCCTTATTTCAAAATGATTGTTCCTGAATGCCTTTGCTATTCTGAGAAGGCAATCCTGACTAGTTTCAGAGTCTTTACCTGTAGTGCGGTTGGGTGTCCCTCAACCAAAATACATATACAGAGCAATTGTTCTTTCTTCATGGCTGCATGTTTAACCTAGCTCAGTAAAATCTAGCTTTTTTAGAGGGAGGTCACCAATGGAAACCCCTATATTTTACCAGAACAGATTTCTTGTCACTTGTAAATTATATAGTGTGCCGCATAGAACAGCTATGGAGGGGGCAGCACCTTGGGTGCCATAGTGAGATAAGCTTAGGAACTGCACAGATACAGATCCAATTGTAGGTGCTGAAGGAAGAGAATGCAAAAAGGTGGAATCATAAGGTAAAAAATAAGAGTGTGGTGTTAAAGAGACTCTGGACTGACCTTTACTTATGAACTGCCATCATCATGTCGCTTCAGTAGCTCTGCCCCCATGTTCCCCATGGGAAACACAAAAGCTTAGGGTGCTTTATTACAGAAAACCTTCACTTCGACTAGAAATGTGGTATTTGTTTTCTCTCCTTTCCCCTAAACCTCATCATCTGTTATAGCTGAACTTTATTTTTTAAATACAAGCCATGTAAGTACTTGAAACTAACCTGGTATTAGCCTTTTGCTATCCCTGTACAGCAGACTGGAGTGTAAGAGGAAGTAGCAGTACAAGGAGCCAATCAGTTCATGTGCTGAATAGAAACATGCTGATAGAGTAAAGTGATGGAGAGATGAGCTGTTTCTCCTTTCACTGTGCAGTCACAGACTTAGGTGGGTCCAGGGAAACCTGGGATCAGAGGAAATGGGATGAATGATGCTGGCCATTAAAATGAAGACATCTAGTGGCAGCAAAAATACTGCTAGGAAAGTCTCTGAAGTGAAGGTTTTGCAGCAAAAGCTGGTTTTGTTTTCTTATCTTATTTTGATATTTTGGGCTTTAGATGTGTTTTAATCAGTGTGCCAATCTTACTTATAAAAGATTATGCTTGGAAGGTAGAAAGGGGCAAGACCAAATGTTCTCATCCTGAATGAGACTCTTACTTGCTCGAGTGGGTTGCCAATGCTATGTGCAAACAGGTCTATGTACCTATAGAAATACCCTGATAGCAGTTCAGGTACATATAGGTCAATACAAGTACACAGTTTAAACAGTTGGCATTAGAGAAGAACTCGTAAAAAAAAAAAAGCAATTGATACCTTGTGTACAGCGCTGGTGCAAGGATTTTTTCCTACACAGGCAAAGGTGCATTTTTGCGCCAGCTCCTCCCCAAGCCCCCGCGCCCTCAGACGGCTGCTTCAAATTTTTTTTTTAAAAGATTAGAAAAAAAACATTTTCGGTTTCGGCCTGACATTTTATTCGGTTTTGAAATTTCCTTTTTGGTGCACCTTTAATTTTTTTTATTTGTTATAATTTTTTTCTTATTTGTTACTTTATTTTTTAATCTTACTATCTTTTACTTTTTATAATTTTCATTTATTATTTTTCACTTATTTTTTCATCATTTTTATTTATTTTATAATGTTTATCAATTTTTTTAATTACATTTTTTTCACTTAACTTTATTGCTATCACACAGGGACTAACAATCCCCTGTGTGATAGCATATGGAGGTGACAGGTTCTCTTTATTGAAGCTGTCACCTCCAATACAGAAGTTCTAGCACAGATACCGGGAGTAGAGAGAGAGGGATCGCAGAGAGATGTGATCGCCGCTGCCGCGACCGTCTTAAAGGGGCGACCTCCCAGTCGCATCTTTCCGCCCCCCACAGCGGCACCCTCAGGCAGATGCTTGACCTGCCTATATGGTAGCGCCAACCCTGCTTCTGTACAGTGGTGCACATTATTTCCTGTTTTGAAAGTCTCTCTCTCTCCAGAAAAGCCCTGTTTTTTTTTTCTCTGCTACCTGTAAAGGTCTTGTCCTACCTTTAGCCTGTGATTGAACACTAAAAGGAGAAACAGCTGATTGATCTATGTCACTGCTCTCTCCTATCAGCATGCTCCTTGCATTGCAGCACAGTTATTTCAGTGTTTGTGCTGCTTCTCTCCCAATCTGAGCTCTGCTGTATTCGGGATTTCAAGAAACTGATGCCGGGATAAATGATGCAGGTACTTAGACTGCCTGCATTAAAAAATTATTTTAATGACGTATTAATGAATACAGAGATGCATTAAACTGACAGTAGTTCAGCTTTAATAGCAATCCAGCAATCAACCCAAGTGTAATTTACACTTAAAAAGACATTGTCACCTTGTCCATGCAGGGCAAAATGATAGTGTTTCATGCAAAGGATATCCCCTGACCCTCATATACTTGCTATACTTATCATTTCAGTTTTAAGATCTAAATTATCCAGAAGTATTTTTTTTCTTTTCATTTCTCATTTTTTAAATGTCTGTTGGTGTGTTGGATAATCCAGGGATATGTATTCACACATATGTATGAACTGCAAAGCCAGAGCTGTGATCCCAAAAGGAGTCACCAAATGTCACATTGGACCCTAGGGAACAAGGAAATCTGAATAGTTTAAATATCTGTGAGCTATAAATAGCTACAAGTCATGAGAGTAAAGCTATTCTGATCTATTTTTACTCTTTGTGAACAGTAAAGAGACAATCATCTGGTCCAGATCAACAGATGCAGAGTCTGTGTTGACCTAAAGTGGACCTATACACTTTTTAATGTTTTTTAGGTATACATGTGAAAAAAAAGCATGAGCTAAATGTAAATATCATTAATAAGTGTTAATGTTAAACCTTGTCTGCTCCCTATACAGTATATGCAGGATGTTGTTCCTGTTAATCTTCTTTCTTCATTGATCAGGTCTGTCTGATTAAAAACAATAGACTTTCTGCAATCTCTGTTGAGAGCTAATTAAAGGCCATGTCATCTCTGCCCAGACTGTAAGTGGCACGATGGAGCTCAGAACGATGTTTATAAAAATGGCAAGAAGACTATTTGTGTTCTGGGGTGTTTTTTTTTGTTGTTCACTCTGGCTAGGTTCACACCAGATGCAGTGCGTTCCGGCCCCATTCCAGCCAGAACGCACTGCATCACATTGCGGCTGGCTCACTTTTTTGTGGGGTAGGAGGGGGCATGGCGGGCCATTGAAGTGAATGGCACCGTAGCCACTCCCTCCGGCCGCAATGCGATCGGCCGCACGGGATCACAAGGCACATTGTGCCTGTGGTCCAGTCCGGTGCAGTGCGATCAGAATAGTGTTTGCAGCATTTTGAAAAAAAGTGAGCCGGCCGCAATGCGATGCAGTGCGTTCTGGCCAGAATCGGGCCGGAATGCACTGCATCTGGTGTGAACCTAGCTTGAATAAAATCCTTTTTGTCCCTTTAGTAAAATTGTACTGATCATATACAGCAGGGGTGCCCATTAGGTAGATCGTGATCTACCAGTAGCTCTCAAAGCTGATGCTGGTAGATCACGAAGGGTGTGAATGGCGGCCCCTTTATTCCATTTTTGGTATATTTATTTCGCTCATGATTGCCTATTAGCCTGACTGCTGAGCCAAGCTCCCTGACGCCTTTCTGGTGGATTCTGGTGGTTGGAGTGCTATGTATCACATCAAAGAATATTAGTTTACACAGCCTGTTGCTAAAAAAAAAGCAAGGTGAGCCAGGGGAGAGAGAGAGAGCGAGGGAGGTTTTTTTTCCCGTTGGTTTAGGCCTTTAAAATAAAACAAAAAAGTAATTTGTGTTGCAATATTCACTTTCAATCTAGAGCTCTTCCTTGCAGTACTTCTGTTCCACCACAAGATGCCCTTGGTCTTATGGCTACCATCATGCAACCCACTTCCTCTGAGCCCAGACTGTCCTGGACCCACCCCAACCTGTAACTAGACAGTAAAAGGAGAATCGGCACAGTGATGAGCTCATCTTTTTGTCATTCTGCTATCACCTCCTATCAGTCTACTTCTAGTCTCCACATGAACTGATTGGGTCCTTGTGCTGCTTCTTCCTCTCACATTCTAGCCCTGCTGCACAGGGCCTGCAAGAGGCTAATACCAATTCAGGTTTTGGTGCTTACACTTCAGTACTTGCATTTCAAAAAATACAGTTACCGATATATTAATGATTGCAGAGCTGCATTCATTTGTGTCTAATTGTGTATGATTCTGTCATGAGAAATGTATGGGGGCTCCCATAGCTGACCTCTCCATTGACAGTGTTAATTCCCTGGCTGTCATGCTGATGTTTTGGCTTCACTGCTTTCTTAATCTCTGGCCTGGAACAAATATTCCCACAGCATACCTAAAAATACTTTTTAAAATGTATTTCTCGTCTTTCTAGGTGTTTGTTTAGAGTGGGCACACATAACATGTATACATATAGAACATATAGTGGGGATTTCTCAAATGTGGTTGCAAAAGTGCACACTTTTAAATTGCTAATATATAACCAAACTTTCTGGATATCTTATGAGTGTACTGAAAAGTTCATACTGAAAGTTGTAAATTACTACTGAGGTATCTGAGAATTTTGCTTTCCTAGAAAATATACTCATATAATGAAAAAGACCATGCTATTGTGTTTGTGAGCCTAACAAGTATATGGATTTAACAGTTTCACTGCACTGCATACTTGTGAAATAACTGACCTCACACCTCACAGCCACAACTGCCAACATCTTTTTATATCTGCTTTTATGTTCCTTCTTTATAAGGTTTCGACTTTTCTATTCTGATAGAATGCCAGGGGGGAAAAAGCAGAACTGCCAGCAAAATCTGTTGTAATGCTGATGAATTTTAGCAGCTGCATGCTCAAAAGCAGAAATACAATTGCACATACTATTAAACCTTAAAGGGTTTCTAAACCCTCTGGTGTTTTTGCATGCATCTAGGGCTAGCAAGCAGTAGATATATGCAAAAGGTTTTTTTTTAAAAAGCTTTAAAAGCGGTTTAAACTTGCCCCTGTCTTCGCCGCACCCTTCCATCCGAAAATTTCGAAAATGCTCGGGCGGCCGCAAAGCATTTTGAAGCGGGCGCATGTTCGGATTTTCGGCCGGGAGACGGAGAGAGAGACAAGGTAAGTCTATGGACGCATGCACCCACATGCAGACACCGTGGGACAGGAAGTATCAGCAAGGACAGAGGAGTCAGCGCTGGATCTGACACTCGCCACAGCGCTGGAGAGAAGGCAGAAAACTACAGGAAAGAAGAAGATCGGATTAATAGACATCATTTAACCTCTTGCCGTCCGCCCGTAGTAAAAAAACGGACGGACGGCACTGCTACATCTGCGGGTTGCCGTCTCCAGACGGCAATTTTTTTCTGTTCGCGCGTGCCCCCTAGCGGGCACGCACGGGCAGAAAAGACCCGACCGTTGCACACACCCGTTACCGGGTGTTTCACATATAGGCGATCAGCGGGTCCATAGCCCGCCGATCGCCTATATGTGCTCGTTCGCACCCTAGTTGTATGAAATGGGATACTGGAGTGCTGTCTATGGCGTAATGGAGCTGACAATGGAAGCGTCTTCTGGTGTCTCCTGCTGTTGTCACCAAGTAGCCATATACATAGTCGGTTATGCTGCTGGCATGATACATGGATTGTATGCAGATTTTTTTCAATTTGCCCAGAGCTCTACTATAATAACTGCACACGTTCAAAGAATACAAAGCATATACTGCAGCCTTTATAAATAAGGTTCTGTTAAATTCTATGGTTCCTCGAGAGGTTGCTGGTAGTTCCTTGAGCAAAGGGCAGTGGTGGATGCATCTCCTGCTTGACAGTTCCTGTATAGATCCAGCACCAATGTCACTGAGTAGCCAGGGGCATGGAACCAGTAGAGTATGGTTACCATTAGTCCTTGTTTGCCCTCAAAACTGGGACTGTCCCCAGAAACAATGGTCCCCAGTGATGGCCCACGGCTGACTGGTGTTGGAGGACGGGTGCAAATTCTCCCTCCTCCACTTGCAAAGCAACGTGTCTCAATGTTGAGGGACAAGAGCCTCTTCCCCTCATCTAGTCCTCCAAAGGGAATGGGGGCAATTTGGGTAATGTAAATAAAACTGGGAAAAAGACAGTAAATTAAAAAGTAAAAAATGTCCCCCAATGTAAATACATCAGTAATAATGCTGTCAAGCAATGTCAATCCATCATCAATCACGATGACCTGTGGTCCGACGATGTTTCCCACCAATCTACCACTAAATGTACCCCTGTACTCTTATCTGAGGGCCCCTTTCATGGGGGACAGGATATGAAGAAGTCCTTGTCCCTCAACAGTGGGACAAGGTGCTGCTCAAATGGGGAGGATTTCCGCCATCCTTTCAAGGATTATTAGGACCCCCTAATATTGGAAACCATTAGGACCCCCTAATATTGGAAACCATGTGGCCTGGTCTGGTACAGGAAGGGGGGACCACACACACTTGTCGCCCTCCCTTCCTTGTTCCCCCTACCTTAATATTCTAACCAGACACTTATCCGGCATGCAGTCTGGGTGGCCAGGAAAGGGAGGGGAGCAAACATGCAACCCCCCTTCTCTGTGCCAGATCAGGCCACATGCTTTTCAACATTGAGGGGCTCCAAAAAACCTAACAAAAATGTAATTTTTTGTTTGCAATGTTTTACCACCACAATGACCCGCCACCCAGTGATATTTCCTTGCTTCATTAGCACCAATGAATCACAGACCCCCAGGCACTACTTAATGTAAACAGTGGAGATCCCAGGGGATGTATTTAAAAAATATGGTCTCTGGGATTCCACAAATGTTTGTTTACATACAGCAGCTGGGGTTTCAGGCAGGTGAACTGGAAGATTTGGGTCAAATAGTTTGCCTGGTCCATGAACGGAAAGCAGGCTGGGTTCGAGGTGAACTCATGTTGGACTCAAATCTCATCCCTATTTACTAACATCTCTAATGTGAGTTACAAGAAATATATTTACAATGTTGTTGTTACATTTGTAATGTAAAGTAACTGAGCTATAATTTTGTTTTTAGGGTGCTTACCAATCCTAGGTGTCCCAAAAACCAATTTCGCCTTGGAGGCTCTGGGAAGCAGCGCAATCTTTGAACATTGGTGATATATGCGTTCACAAACAGCACCACCTTGAGGCAGGTCTGAAGAATGACAACAACAGAGAGGAGAAGCAAGGCAGTGACGGCAAAGATTCTGAATGTGGTGTGCTCCACATTTAGTGCATCCAGCACATGATCCACTATGGGCAACATTCTAAAGGAAAAGGGAGAGAAATGTATTAATATTGAAAAGAGGCATCATCAAATCCCTGAGCAAGTCATAGCGCTTCTTTTAGCAATGAACGTCTCCTATTTGTTCCCTTTTTGGTATGTTAAATTTATCAATGAAAGCAGTTTGTTATATCTGTTCAATAAGTAAAAAAATGCCAGTTGATCCTGCCAGAATTTTTTGAGCTATTAACTTCCTGTGTTCTCTGCCACTGGTGACTTATCAGTTAGCAATGTTTAGAGCTTCCTCTGTGGATTACAAAACACCTCCCCTATGATGGAGAGGGGAAGCTGCTTTGTATTCCTGCCCTAGGGTGACAACTCCACATATACAGTATGGTAAGTGAGCAGTGTCTTCCTAGAACAGTGTATTACTAGCAGGATCACCAGGTGAAAATAAGGGGGGGAAAAAACCCTTAAATACATGAATGTAGCCACCACATGTAAGGACTGGTAAGCTGCAACATATTAAAGTCTAATTCCACCTTTTGCAAAAATTCCATACCACACTGATTAATTTAATTTCTTGCATTGGTGCCTGCAAAGCACTACAACCATGATCAGTAGATTGTGAATGCAATGCTCTGACTCCTGCAGACTGTTGCTCCAGCCCTAGGTCAGTACCGAGGTACGTACCTTCAGTTATGGAGCTGAAGGAAGTTATCAATGGACTACATGTGCAGTAACGTTACCACACTTGTGCTTCATTCAGATCCATGAGTCCCTTTATTGCTGAGATGGCAGGTGTAGTTGTTCATTCACAGATACTGTGAATGGATTTGTGAATAAATGACATGGCCGTGTGAACTGAGCCATGCCAAATTTGAAAAAAAGGTGCTGCAGGAAGAACCACTGCGTTATTCAATAGGGTGGGGGGCTGCAGACTGTGGCCATGTTTCAAGTTACACCCTAAATACTGGAGTAACAGGGTCCAAATATGCAATTAGCATTTATATTCTTGTTCTCGGTTTTATATATGCTGTGAGTGTAAAAAAAAAAAAAAACACAAAAGGCCATCAGTGCTGTGCTAATAAGGAAAAGTAGTTAGAGATACAAGGTACACAACCTTTTTGCAATAGAAGAGTGCAATTGTGTATCAAACACCAAACTAAGCATATAGGTATGAATATAGTTAAAGGGTCAATACATGCAAAATGTTTTTAACTTTTTATTGGGTGAATTTCCTTCTATCTTTCTGATTTTGTACTCACATTGCAAGCGAATTCCCACTCCACCATCTGCACTCTACTCTCCATAATGTAAATGAAAAATAAATAATCTGGACACAGGAGAGAGGTACATTTCTAATGAATGCATTGGGTGGCGGAGATAGCAATTAAGGAGTAGAGATTTGTTTCCTGGAAAATGTTGAGGAAAAAAAAATCTACTTTATTTTTAAAAATCAAAACAAAAAAACAGAGAATTTAAGCACTAAAGGGAAAATAGAACCTCTATGTATTCTGTCGGCTGCTAATCAAGAATGTTCATCCTTCCACCTTCTCTTCCTCCTATGACATTACTAACATTATATACATTAGCAATAGTGTTTGCCTTAAAAGATATATTATTAGGAACTTACAAAAAACCATAAGATAATTTTACATAAAATAGTATCAGGCACCATATGCCACCAATCACACATAGGAAAAATGCCTTCTGTCAGAACAAGTCAACGTGGTTTATTTATAAAAGTCATAAAAGGATGCTGTTTGCATGGCACTAACATCCCTAGATGGCGCTGATGAGCATAGGATTTCCTATACTCGTCAGGACCCTCTAGGGGCACTATTGCAGTGCGAATGGCATCGGCATAGGTATATGCTGGGTGAAACCTTTATAAATAAACCACAAAGTATTTGTAAATATTTTTTTTAACAAAAACGGCCCGGAACGCATCAAAAATGCGGCAAAACACACTGCACTGCGTGTGCAGAAACTCATGCAGATCTGGTCTGCATTTGGTGTGAACAAGGCCTAACATAATAGTTCCAAGATTTTTCTTTTCTTGCCCACAACATGGTATTACATGTTGAGTGAAATAAAGAGTTTTGTAATATATTACACTTATGTTTTGCTGCCCATATTTGACTATTTGTGTCTGCAACGGAAACTATGGAAGTTTTCTATTGCTAGAAGTTCATAAGTAGTTGGTTGCATTTCACAATCACTTCATTATGAGCATGTGTCAAGGAACTAAATAAAAATTGCATCATGGGTCAGCTCTTACATGCACTGCTTTGTTAACCCCATTCACACGTGCCCTTTTTGGTACATGCATTTTTCTTTGAAATTAATGGGAATGCATCAAAATGCATGTTGGCACATTCTACCTTATGCCATAACGCACATGAACATGCATTGATGCCATTTAAGCATACATCACAACTTGCTGAGACATGTGTTTTAATGCACTTTCCATTAATTTCAATGGGAACGCATCTGGTACACGCATGCAAGTATGAATGGGTCTTAAAAATTGGTATTTCCATACAATGGGGAAAATTAAAGTGAAACGAAACTTAGAACATAAATCTGAAAAATGTATAGTATATGTGTTTCACTCAGCTGTAGATCCTCAAATCAGGGGCGGAGCTACCGCCTTGCAGCCGGTGCGGTTGCACCAGGGCCTGAGCCTAGAGGGGACCTGTAGACCCAGGCACAGGTCCAGTGGTGGGGGTTTGCTGGCCACCCAACACTAAGGACAGAACTGGGAGAGAGCCCGGAAGGGAGCAGGGAGGGGAAAATACAAAGCAGCCTGCAGGCACACTGAGGCAGCGCTGTTGACTTGGCCGGGAGGACCCAGCAAGCAGCCATCTGATTACAGAGCCCACTGCCTCTCCCTGCTGCATGGTGTACCCGCCGCAAGGGCAATCAGATAAGGTGATGCTTTAATCTATGTGCCTAACTTCTGTGTGTTCTGTGATATGTTTGTTATCTATAACTGATGGAATTATTCTTCATTTCTGTTTAAAGTATTGGTGGGAGTTGTAGCCCTCCATAGCTGGGGCCATTCTGCAGCATTGTATAGGGGACGACAACTTCAAACAATACTTTATACACAAATGCAGAATGGTACCAGCTATAGAGGACTGCAACTTCCAGCAATGCAGAATGGCAAAGTATTGCTGGGAGTTGTAATCCTCTTATAACTGAAGCCATTCTGCATTGCCATATAAAGTATTCCTGGGAGTTGCAGTCCTCTAAAGCCAAAGCCATTTGCTGGGAGTTGTAATTCTCTATAGCCGGTGTCATTCTGCATTGCCGTATAAAGTATTGCTGGGATTTGTAGTCCCCTATAGCCGAAACCATTCTGCATTGCTGTATAAAGTATTTCCGGGAGTTGTAGTCCTTTATAGCAGCGGTCCACAACTTTTTTGGCATCGGGGACTGGTTTTGCAGAGGAAATTTTTTCCACATACCAGGGGGTTAGGGGAAAGGTTGTGGGGGATGGTTTCAGGATATTTCAGCGCATTTATTGTGCACTTCTTTTATATCTATTATTATTACATTGTAAAATATAATGAAATAATTATACAAGTCACCATAATGCAGAATCAGTGGGAGCCCTGAGCTTGTTTTCCTTCTCTCAGGTGGCCAGTGCGGGCTCTCGGGTGGCCAGTGCGGGCATTGTAAGAGCCGGGAAGGGGGGGGACCAGGGCCCTTTGTTCTTTAGGTCCGCCACTGCCTCAAATCATCTCTGAATTGGTGCTGACACTGTCCTTCCTTCTGGAGGGGGGCTACTTTTGTTCCCCATGGTCCCTGTGTGTGTTGTAAAGTAGCCACCACTCTAAGCTCGCTCCTGTGATAGACTACAATCTCACGTTTACTTTACTAATTTGTACTGAGATTGTAGTCCATCACAGGAGTGAGCTTGGAGCGGTAGCTACTTTACACTATGAATTCAGAGATGATTTGAGGATCTACAGTTGAGTGATACACAAATAAGCAAAATGTTTGTTAATAGGGTACTTGAATGTATTTTTAAGACCTGAGTTTAGTGTCATTGTAATAAAAAGTGCCTGACAAACTTTGTCTCAACTGGAGCACAGCCAATCAGCTTTTACAATTTAACTTTTTAAGCTGTGTTGAAAAAATGAAAGAGAGAAGCTTATTGGTTGCAATGGGCACGTGCCCCAGTTGAGATAAAACTTGTCTCGGCCACTTTTTTTTAGTTCCTCCAATGTCTTCAACAAAGAAGAACACATAAAACCAATATTTGGTAAACCCGTCACATCCCCTACACTATTTTTATGAACAATTTTGTAACGCACTGGATTTCCAAGAAGATACATCACAGGTACCATGATGAGACATGAAACATAAGAACTTATGATTTATAAATAATCTTGTGGAGCAATCAACAATAACAGAAAAACATGTTTACCTTTGAACTGCTGATAATAAAGATCGTATTATTGCATGTTGCTACACAAACACAGAACATACACAGAAAGTATCCATCTACACTTCTCTGAATCTGGTGTTTTAAAATATAGCTGTGTGCATAAATATAGACATAAATGCATATTTCATTGATTTATTTAATTTAATTGTATCTGGTTTAAAATACATTTCAAATCATACTTGTTTTCATTGTTATATTTTCGTCTGCTAAACAGCAGTATTACATATTAACACTATAAAACACTAATACGTGTTAAAGTAGTACAAAATTATAGGGTATTACGCCAGAAACACATCATAGGATGCTAAATTAGCACATTGCATTCAAAAATAGTTTTCAACAAAGTCAAGAATTGCTTAGTTTTTAAACATTTCGTAGTCATAGTCACCTACTTCCTCAGTGGGGCTTCCCCAAACTTCCTATCAGGGAGCGCGCTCTCACAATATCATTGAGTTAGCTGATACACTCCTCATGTCCCATGACACTACATGTCCCATCATAAATTGCGCAGTGTAGGTATGCCCTGCCTCCCCCAGACACTGCCTCTGTGTGGCGGCAGATAGTAGTCTTATTACAGGAGC